CAGCAGCGCCTAGCCGTGCTGAGCTACGAGCAGGTGCGCCGCCTCAACGACGTGATGGACGAGGTGGTCAGCATCCACGGGCGCGGCAACTTCCCCACGCTGGAGGTGCGGCTGCGCGACCTGGTGACGGTGGTGCGTGCCAAGCTGGAGGCGGAGACGGCATCGGGCGGCGCGGGCATGCGCGTGCGGGACATCCGCCTGAACGGCGGTGCCGCCTCGCACGTGCTGGCCACGGAGTCGCAGCCCTACAACGACCTGGACCTTATCTTCGCCGTGGAGTTGTCTGGCGGCCGCGACTTCGACCGCGTCAAGGCGGCCGTGCTCGGGTCTCTCTTCGACCTCCTCCCCGAGGGCGTTAGCCGCAAGCGCATCACCACGTGCTCCCTGAAGGAGGCGTACGTGAGCAAGATGGTGAAGGTGAACAACGACGGTGACCGCTGGTCCCTCATCTCCCTGGGCAACTCGCGCGGCCACAAGAACGTCGAACTCAAGTTCGTCGACTCGATGCGACGGCAGTTCGAGTTTTCCGTAGACTCTTTCCAGATCGTGCTCGACTCCTTGCTGCTGTTCTACGAGTGCAGCGAGCTGCCGATCGGCGAGAACTTCTACCCCACGGTCGTGGGCGAATCCGTGTACGGGGACTTCCAGGAGGCTCTGTACCACTTGCACAAGAAGCTGATCGCGACCCGCCACCCCGAGGAGATCCGCGGAGGCGGACTGCTCAAGTACTGCTACCTGCTGGTCAAAAATTACAGGCCCGCCCGCCCGGATTACATCAAAACTCTGGAGCGGTACATGTGCTCGCGCTTCTTCATAGACTTCAGCGACATCCAACAACAGCGCGGCAAGCTTGAAAACTACCTGTGGAACCACTTCGTGGACCCGGAGGAGGAGGCGCTAAAGTACCAGTACCTGATGCTGCTGCACAGCGTGGTGGAGGAGTCGACGGTGTGCTTGATGGGCCACGAGCGCCGGCAGACGCTGGACCTCATAAAAGAGCTGGCGTACCACGTGCTCTTCCAGGAGCAGCAGCGGTTGCTGACGCAGCCCGCGGCCCTGCTGTACGCCAACGGCTACTACTACGCGCCTGTCATCCCGTACCCGTGCACGTGCGCCGCATGGATGGCGTGCTCGTCGTGATGGTGCAGCCTGCCCGGGTGCGGCGGCGGCGACGTGGCGTGCGGCGCGCCGCCCCCGCGGGCCGGCCGCTCGCGCTGCCGCGCAGCCCCCGCCCCCGCCCGCAAGGACTCCTCTGACAGCGCCCGCGCCACGGACAGCCGCTCATCGGGCCGCGATGTTTCCCTGTGCGAAGTGTAAAAAGTTTACATTTTCCAGCTCAGAAAAATTTGCTGCAAAAAATTGTCAAAAAAATTCTGAGGAAATAAATCCGCGCCTGACGTTGAGAGTGGTGACTTAGTGAGATCCGTCGAGTAAGGCTGATGTACAAAGTTGACCGCCTCGGCGGCCAAACGCGAGGTGTATTGGTTACTTTGGAAGCCTCTCAACGCCTTTTGTACCTGTGAAAGTTGTAAAAAAAAATTAAGCAACAGACTGGTGGCCCATATAAAGGGCAGCGGGTGGAGGCGGTGGCGGCTACATAGTGTGATGTGTTGGATGTGCCTATGATGTGCTAATTTTTTGCTAATGTGTCGGTGTGGTGAGAAGTGCGGAAAGTGCTGTGTGTAGCCGCCCCGCCCGCGCTGCCGCTTCATAAAAAGCCAAACAAAAAAAACGACAAAAAAATCATAAAAAAATAAAAGTAAACACTCCCATTTCTACATGAAACCTTCTGTGATGAGCGGACACTGGAGAACAAGAATTAACAGGAACTTTTTTGCGTAATCCTAGCGACCAAACCATTCCGTGAATTTAACTCTTTAAGATTGATTTGGTGTGTGGCTGTGAATGTTTTCATTTCACATCATATGATTACTGGTTGTGTAACTTAAAAAGTCTTTAGAGCAATGTCTCAATTAATCAATGTGCGCCGGGACGGGCAGCGGAGGAGCCGGGCCGCGCGGCGCGCGCGGTCGCTGGGCACGCGTGCGCTTGGCGTCGCAGAACGCACGGGGCGGGAGGGGAGGGGGTGGAGGACCGCGATGTTCGTAGACTGTTCGAAGCGGGGCAGAGCCCACACTCAAAATTTAAAGTTGTCGGACTGAAAGATCGTTGTGGGAGGTGAACAGGCGGCGTGCAACACAGTGCAGAACTGAGCCAGAGGTCAGGTTTAGGAGTTGAGAGAGAAGTGCCACTTTGAAAGGGGGAGGGAGGGAGGTTGATTTAAAAAAAGTACAAAAACTGGGACGTTCGTGAATTAGTTAGGTTTCCTCAGTTTTGGCATTTTCCTCTAAAGCGGATGCTTTAGCGAAATTTCGGCCCAGTTGAATGTCCTGTATAGATTTGGCCCGTGTGCCACATTAAAGAAAGCCACCGCTGCCGCTGCAGCGACAGTAGGTGGGAGATTACGCAAGGGCTAGCGGCCTGGCCTGGCGGCCAGCTCGCTGTCTGATGAATGACAAACGGTGACGCAATGCACGCGGCAGTGAAAGCACGCGCCGCCGCCTCCCCCGTCCTCGCGAGGCAGATCTCGCGAGGGCGTTTCGGGTGTCCACTCGATGCCCGGGAAGGTCCTAGATTCGAAAGGGTACGATACTTTGCTCTCACAGGGGTGTAAGTGTATGAAGATATACTTGTATTGAGTTTCCCCATAAGGTATTGGTAGATGTAAACGATGTAGGTAGTCCTATACCAGTATTTTTGTTTTGATTATTTTGAGTTGGAGAAGAGAAGTAGTAATTGTGGATTGTTAGTGATGCCAGGTGGATTTTATTTTTGTTAGCATGCTAGAAATGGAGGCATTGAAGACTATTCCAAAAACTTTAGATCTCAAGTAGTGTTCTACAGCTGCGGGGGTTGCGCCGGGTCCATTCTTACGTACGCGTGCCCCCACCCCCGCGCTTGTGGGGTGGGGCGCCCTGCCCGCTCCCGGCCAGTTATTAATGTGAATGCAACGTGGCGAGGTTTTTAATTACAGTTATATTTCTAACAAAGTATGTATTCCCCTTTTTGTTTACAGATGGCAGAGATGTTCTTGCTATGCTTAACATTAGTCCTGGAGATGAGAATACGCTGTAGTATTTTTGCTTCGAGGTTTACGAGTATGTCTACACAATTGTGCTGTTTCGTTCTCCTCCAGAGCCAGTCCCGATCCTCTGTTCAGTGTGCTTGGCTCAGTGTCGACTGGCGGCTCGCCACTCTCACCGCCATTCCCCGCCCCGCCAGCCCCAACCCCGTCCCCGCAGAGAGGAATATAAAGAGCGTTTTTACTTATTTTATTGTGTTCACATACCTAGGTAGAACATGAACGTGTGGGGAAACTGAATTGAAAACGTTGATTAAAAAGAAATTTCAAACGCCCAAAACTTGTTTTCATTTTGTTGGACGTACCTGTCCACCCAGAACCCTCTCCCGTTCCAGAGATCCGTCCGGTGCCTACTTACTCAAGTGCTGGTGCGAGTGCGTGCGTGTCTGTGCGTACGGACGGCCAACCGGTCCACGCGACCAGTTTGTCGTCCATGCGTTGTGCCTGGGAGCAGGCAACTCCGCAGTGGAAGTGCGCGATGGGCAGTGAAAGTGGAACCGGTGGAGTGACGTTGCTGTGCCAGAAACGTGGTTTGTGGCAGTGCGCGTTCAGTGGAAGTTTTTTTTTAAGTTCAAAAAATTAAACACCCTTCGCACGTCTTTGGTTTTTAAATGTTCTGCTTGATGTGAGCGAAATCAAGTGAATAAAAAATTGTTGAAATGTTCCCGGGAAAGTTTGTTGGTCCCAGGAACTTCAAAATTGCGTCAGTGTTGACGCGAGTTCAGTGCGCAGAGGTGTCACCCGCGATGTGGATGAACGGTCGAAGTGAGCGCAATTTTGGTTTTTGTGTTGGGCGGAACTGTCACAGCCCGCAGGGCCCCGCTGTGTCGTTTTCTGGTGCGAGTGCTGGCCCGGCTGCGCAGGTCAGAGCGAAGGGCTGGCCCGCGGGGCAACGCGCTCGGTCGGTTCCATTGAATCGCGCGCCCCCCTCCGCCCTCGGCGGCTCGAGGGGAGCGCGCCTGCCACGCCGCCGTCTGCGAAGAAAGGAAGGGCGCGGCCGCGAGACAAGGGAAGCGACCTGCCGACCACCTGAGCAACAGGAGGAGCGAGGTAAGTCGGGCGCAGGAGAGAGGAGCAGCTGCGACTGAGGCTGTTTGTGCTGGTGGGACCGCCACCCGGCCCTTTGGCGTGCGTGCGTGTGAGCGAGCCGAGCCGCCGCGCAGGCCCTTTTTTCTTGGCTTCGGGCGCCGTTTACACGAGCAGCTGCGCCCGAAGGCGGCTGCCTGCGAACGGCTCGTGGCGTCTCGAAGATCTGGAGCGCAGCTCCCGCCCCCCCCCCTCCACCGCCGAGAGAAGTGGAGGGAGCGGGTGAAGGCTCGTGCTGCAGCCTGATTGAGTGGAGTGTGGAGGAGGGAAGGGGCAGTTGGGAATGATGTTGCACCAAAGGATTCACTTTCACTTGTGTGGTTCGGGAGTCGAGTAGCATGAAGTAATTCTGAAGAAATCAGTACATATGATTCTATTTAAAAAAAGTTATAAACATAATCTTATAATTTCCTTACGTAGTTACTGTAATGGATAACACATTAGTGAAACAATTTTTCAATTAATTTGAGACGTTGCTATCTAATTTTCTTCTCAAAGAGCTTAGGAAGTACTCCACAATATAGAATTATTTCATATCATTCAGAAGGTTTTCTTTCTAATTGACAGCAATTACAGTTAGATGTTCAGAATTTTGGCCCTGGTGTGCCCTGATGTTTTAATGTTCATTTCATTCGAGATTGTCCAACTCGTGCTCGAAAGTTACGTGCGTCGAAAGGAAAAAGTTTTTAGCGAGTAGCCTGTAACTTACTGGAATGTGTGGGGAGGTTGAAAGGTGAAAACATCAGAACTTTGTGGTGAAAAACGAGGCTATTCGGAGCACTCCGTGACTTATTCCGTGTTCTGTTTAAAAACGTTTAGCAAGTTAGGCGCGCCATCGCAGAACTCTTGTAAAAGCTGGGCCAATTGGAAACCCGCCAAATCGAATGGCTGTGTTGCTGTGTTGTGCAGTTTCAAACTGGTCAGCTGTTCAGCGAGCAGTTCAAATCGACAACTCGGCCTTTGGTGCGCCATTGGGCACGTGCATTGCAGTCTCGTGCTCAGAAACTGGAACAATCTTATTCAATTCATTCAATCCTATAGTTAAAACGGTTTCGTTGCCACAACGGTCTGTATGTAGTACAGTACGTATGACTTCATGACCCATACTGCTCTATACGGAATAAGTTTTCGGAATATGGAACGTGCTGACGAGTATATATCAAATTATGTAGACAACTTTTTTGCAGTGCAATCCACTAAATATTTTTTCAGCATTTTAAAGTAATCTTACATTGATTTGTCAGGAATATTGCATCAAGTATTATACAGGCCCCTTTATTCCGAATGAATGGTGGGTTCGGTAGTCACTTTAACTCTACTGACAAATGGTTTAATTTGGTTTGGAACTATGTGTAAATGCCATATTCATAGTGCATACGCATGTTCGAAAACAAATTTCTATTACGGGATGACTCGGGGGCAAAAGCTTGGCGAGAGTACTTTAGTTCGCTTCAGTACCAAACAAACGCATTCAGAACCAATTGAGAGAGTACGTATTGTAATGAAAATTTAATTTTTCGATTTTTTAACTTTTAATATTTGAATTTTTACAATTTCTGTTCATTAACTTCTGTTTTGAAGGATTCTTTCTGCATGGATGTATTAAATAAGTAGTTCTAAACTTGATATCGTAAGAGGTTTTTACTAAACGTAATCTGTTGAAGTTTCGAAAAGCTTCATAAAATGTCATTGATCGTCTCACTTAACAAAATATTTGAAAATTAACTCTGAATTTAATTGCATCATAAATCTTCGATCAAGTTTTAACTTTTTTATTTTATCTTAAACTGAAACTTTCTTTTTAGGTTATTTGAATTAAAAATTATAGTAGTTTTTATTTGGTGGGAGACTTGCGGACTGCAACCCTAAGAGCCCACTATTAAATCCGTTAATTGAGGAAAACTTCAGTCGG